CTGGTCTGTAACCCTTACTTCCTTTTCTTGTGTTTCACTGGATTTTTTATACAGTTGAGCCATTGATTAAGATAGCGTCACTTTTTTTTTCTCTGTATTTTCTCAGAAAGAAAGACTAAGCATCAGCTGTTCCATGGGGTTCAACATCCAGGAAGGTAAAAACAAAGAAGGTGAAAGAAGGAGCAGAAGTACCTTTTGATACTATCTTTCATAATATCCTTCTGGACAGAATGTCCAGCACACAGCTGAATAACCATGTTATGCAATGGGAGAGCAACTGGTATATAGGATGAGTGTAAAAGGTTACAGTGGAGGCACATAAGGCTGGCAACCTGCTACTAGTGGTGTTCCACAGGGCTCTATCCCTGACCCTGTGCTCTGCAACATCTTCATTAATGACATGGACGAAAGACTGGAAAGAATACTGTGATTGCTGACAATACTTAATTGGGAAGAGTTGCTGACTGTCTTGAGGGCAGGGAGGATCTGCAAACACACCTTGACTAACTAGACATGGACAGTGACCAACCGTATGAAGCATAACAAGGGCAGGTGCCAGATTCTGCCCCTGGGATGGGGCAGCTCTGGTTGTGGGTATAGACAGAAATGCAAAGGTGGAGAGAAATGCTGTGGAAAAGGACCAGTGAGTCTTGGTTGATGGCAAGTTGAACATGACTCAGCAGTGCCCTGGCAGCCAGGAGAGCCACCTGTGTCCTGGAGAGCATCAGCATCCCCAGCCGGGAAAGGGAGGGGATTGTCCTGCTCTGCTCTTCTCTGGGGCAGCCTCACCTCGAGTGGTGGGGGCAGTTCTGGGTGCCACACTGTAAGAAAGACATTGAGCTGTTAGAGAATGCCCAAAGGAGGCACACAGAGATGGTGAAGGGGAAGCCATTGATGGATATGGAGGAAAAAACTTAAAAGGTGCTGCTGAGGACACTTGGTCTGTTCAGCCTGGAGAAGAGGAGCCTGAGGGGAGAGATCAGTGTGCCTCCAACGTCCTCAAAAGGGGAAGAGGAATGGCATTTCTGGTGCAGTGGTAGGTACCAATATCTTCATGCTCATGACCAGGAATAGGATTTGAGGAGGTGGCCTGAAGCTGTGTCAGGGGAGGATTAGGCTGGGTTCTTAGAAAAGGTTCTTCACCCAGAAAGTGGTAAAGCATGCAAGAGGCTCCCCATGGAAGTGGTCACAACACCAGCCAGACAGAGTTCAAGAAGCCTTTAGACAACACTCTCAGGCTCTCAGACTCTGCAAGAATGGTGTGATTCTTGGGGTGTCCCGTGCAGGGCCATGAGTTGGACATGATGAGCTTTGTGTGTCCCTTCCAGCTCAGGTTATTCTGTGATTCTGTGATTCTATGATAAGTAAAATTGTGAAATAGCATTCCTTTCCCTAAGACCAATCAATTGCCACAATTAAGTATGTGGCAAAATGTGGCAGAAGTGGGGAAAAAAGAAGTGGTTTCTTAGGATTTAAGTCTTGTCATATAGCCATAGGCCTGGCTCTGTTTAATTACATGTTTTCTCACTTTTGGACGTCTGAAAAGTGTTCTAGCTATTTTTTTGTTTTTCTTGGTGTTTCTGTGGCTTTTTAATCATTGAGGACTTTCTGACTTCTTTTTTCTAGCTTTATGGCATTTTGTGGGAGTAATATACACTGTTTTCCTTGTTAGTTTTTCTGTTAGGCAACTCTGAAGGGCCTCTTTGGTTTGGCAGCTTAGCACTGAGTTTGTGGCCTATAAATGATTGCTTGTTTGCTTAGTTCTGACTTCACCACTTCTCTGGACTTCTTTTCTTAACATGTAGTTTTTGTTTCTCTTTCCCTGGTATAAGCAATATGACTGTTACTCCAGAATCTGAGTTACTCCAGAAACTGACCTAACCTGCCATGAGTGGTACCCAGGTTCACACGTGTGCCCAGGAAGGGGAACCTAATATTGCAAGTGACACAAGTGACTGCCTGGCTGGGATGCCTCACCCTGCAGGCAGCAGGCACTGACTGCTGTGCTGACAGGAAGCAGACCCTGACTCGAATGGAGCCCTAGAGCCAGCTGCCTGAAGCCAAAATGATGACTGTGTGAGAGATTCCCTCTGGACATGCAGGCTGCCTTCAGTCCTATTCTTTGTTCTTTATCCTGCTCTCATTACTGTGGGCTGGGTCTTTGCTGCTGGCTTGCTGTACAAACCACAAGTACACATCACTTCATTTAAGTAAGTTGTTCAGTATAATAGAGGAATTTTTGGAGGAACAGAGATGAATAGTAGTGTTAGAAGAATTTCAAGTACCTTAACCTTGAGATCATGTCTTTATAACTCATCCTATTCCTTGCATACCTTGCAATTTCTTCAATAAATGAAACAAAAGGCTTCCAGACAGTAGATTTCTTCTGTAAACAAACCTATTTTATTCCCCAAGTATCACATCCCATGCTCTGACTGTTAAAATACTCCTCCTTTAAAATCTTAATATCTTAAAATAAAAAAGAGAAAAACAGCATGTAAACATGCAGTTGGGCTACCTCAAAATGCCAGCACATAAGGTGGATTGCATTTATATGAAATAAGTTCTACAAATTTCTTTCTTTCTTGGATTTTGAGTGCTTGGCACAGTCATAAAATGTTTTTTTTTTTTTTCAAAAATGCACTCCCTTTCTTTCTGAAATTAATCTAACTCCTTCCAGTTTGAAAAATTAATGGACATTGGACATTTCATCCTCTAAGCACAGATCTTAATCACAAACCCAACACAGCAAATGTAGTATCAGCCTATCATCCTTTTGTACAGGTTGTGCTATTCCAATAGCAGATGTGAACAATTCCCAAGGATTTCACTGCCATTCAGCTGTGTGGGATCTCCTGATTCAATCACTGGTTTTCAAGAAGAGCTTTTTCCAAGTTCTTAGAACTCATGTGTTCCTCTGCGTCCTTTTCTGATCTATTCATTTGCCCAATTCATCACACGCGAGTTTTTACACGACTCTCTTGCTTTCCTCCACATGAGCAGAATGACTTAGTCTCCTTTACAGGTGAGCCTACCAAATGCAAGACCTGTAAATCATCCTGATACTTTTAAATCAGCAGTATATTCCAGGTTAAAACCCAGCAGCTTTACACTGAAGAAGCCTGATCATAAACCCACCCCTTTTTACATCTAGGTATTCTTAACCTGTATAATATAGCTGACCTGTTGCTGTTGTTGTTGCTGTGGGTGTTTTCTAAGTATCAGTGAATGAAAAGGAAGATTAAGAAACCTGTAACCATTAACTATCTATGTTAACATCTGCATGGCACAAAAATCAATATATACCTACCTAGAAGTTTTTTTGTTTCACTTGTCTCCTCACTAAGAGCCTTCAAAATTTTAAAAGGTGAATGCATTATCTTAAGACTAATGACAACTGATTTATCAATTTATAAGATAGGAATTGTAAAATCTTTCTTCATAGCAGAAACAGGAAGATGAGTAAGCTGGTAGGAAAAATTCTCTTTCCAGAATCAGTACCATTTCTATGCCACTAAAATGTCACATTGCTAGGTGTCTGAAAAATCTTTCCTTGGAAATAAAAAAAATTACAATTATTACTTGTCAGAGAAATGGCAGCCAGACCAGGTCAGAAGAAAGCTGCTTAGCCACTGCCCTGTCTTCTGAAAGTGTGGGACAAATGGGACAGAGCTGCAAGGAATCCTGTTCACCTTACAGCTTTGCATTCACAGCTAGGTTCCTTTTATGACCTTGCAATTTCAGTATCTTGCATGAAAATTCCAACTGGTTTTGGTGAGAAGGCCTATTTTTGAAAGCAATTGAGATGTTGAGAAACCCGGAGTCCCTGTCAAAATCAGTGCCTGGTGCCAGATAAGGGTCCAGCACTGAAGGTGTGTGTCAATAGACAGTTGCCCTAAATGAGCATCCTTGCAGTACATAGGTTCTTGTAAGATCTCCACAAAAATTAGCTGTTTGCCTTATCAATGAGTATAGCAATTAACATTATATCAGTGAGTTATATTAATTCCCAAATTAATTATACCCAATTAATTATAGGGGATTTTTAGCATTGCTTTTACCATATGATCAGCAGCTAGAAGGAAAGCTACAGTCAGCACTTTCCAACAAGCAGGTCCTGCAGCTCACCAGCAAGTTCACAGTCACCTGTGGCCATGGCCAATTTGGCAAAGTGTGGTCCCAGCTGCTCAGGCAAGTGGAAGCTCAAAGGAGGGAGAGACACAGACTAAAGCCCAGACCTGGCAGAGCATCAGTGTCCCAGATTTCGGGGCAAGATGTATTCCATTTGCCATCTGTATGGCAGTTGTCTTCTGTTAAATGGTTTTTTTTCCTTATCTCTTTCACAACCAATTCTCCCTCTGGGGAGACATCTGCAGATAATGGGCTATTGAATGTCACTGCATGACTGATAAAAGTGACAGCATCTCATTGTGAGATGCTCCACCCAGAGGGAGGAGCCAAGCATTCCTAACTGGATATAATCTGGGTTTTTGGGACATCAGACTCAGGCTTTTCCTCTGGATTTCCAGGACGACTGCAGCCATTCCAATTTGGACTGCTACCAACACACCAAAAGGGTGTCAGGTTGTATTCTGACTCTATCTGTGGTTTTTCTTTTGTATTATTGCATGTATTTTGTTTTCTTTTTCCCTTTTCCTAATAAATTGTGTTTCTGACTTGGAGTCTCTCACTGGATTTGCTTTCAAACCAGAATAATCAGCTTGGCACAGATAATCTGAGCTAGTACTCTTGAGGATAAGAACCTTTATCTCTGTCAGATCCTTTGTTTATTTCTTGCTACAGACTCTTCTATGGCAGTAAGAAATTATTTAACAGCCTGTCTTCCTGTTGGAAACTGCTAGCACTCACCACTACTTCTCCCCTTCTCCTCTGTTTCCCCACTACTCTTACAGGCAGACATATACCTTTTCCCTCCACAGATGCTTCCTGTGTGGATCCTTCTTGTTCTGTGTGTTTCACTGGCATCCAAGTTCATTTTCTCCATCCCAGGCTCCTTTATTTGTTTTTCTCTTGAACAATTTTACATAACATTCCAAATGACATTTTTATTGCAGTATTTTCATGGTCCAGCAAAATTTGCTAAGGGAGGTGTTTTACAAATAATATTATTACTTTGAAGATTTAGTCCTGTGGAATCACAGAACATGTGGTTAAGTTTAAAAACGTTTGTTTTCACTGTGTGTCTTCTATTATGATTTTGCCTCACTGTGTGATATTGGTGCAATAAATGGTATTTATATGTAAGATACCAACATGATCTGATTCAAGTGCAACATGTTGGTTTGTCTCCCTGTGAGACATGGAGGTGACACTTCAACATAACCTTGCCTGACATTCCAGGGGAGTCTTCTAAATCCAAGGCAGAACTAATGATTGTACTGATTCTGGACAGCAACCTGAGAAGGTTCTCATTATGGTCTCAGAACCATCCCTGATCAGGTCAGTGGTCCAGATTCCACTTAAAGACCTGGTTTCTGAAGCTTCTAAAGCTTCTGTAGTCTCTGAGCTATGAGAGCACAGATACCTTCTGTGTGCAGTAAGAGAGCACATCACGGCAAAGTGAGCAGGGCCGCTGGCATATCTCTCCTGAAGTGTTTTCAGCAAGCTGTTTCTAGGTCATCGGTCAGATTTGGGGCTGACAGTGTAGGGAAAATAATGACGCAATTAACACACTGCAAAGACTCAGGGTTTCTGTCTTCATTGGTCTGATAAAAACTTTGGTCTTATTGCATACAAGAAGCATTACAGAGATATTTATATTTAAAAAATGCACAAAAGATGGGATTGGCAATGGGCTGCATGAATCTGAGAGGACACACTAGACAGCAGCCTGGATACGAGGATGTAGAAACACTGATGGAAACTCAGCTGGGAAATAAACTTGTCTTCAGATTTTGATAAGGGAAGACATTTTCTCTGAGAAGGTTTCAAAGGCAGAAGCCTGCCTCTTAAAAAAGGTTTATTTCTCTAAAATCAAATTATCCTGTAAAGAAAAATACAAAAGGGATGGTTTAGTATGATCTCTATTGCCCCCTTAAGTGTACTTTGTGCTTTCATCTAGAATTTTGGAAACATATTTGAACCAACCAATTAATATTTTTGGTCAGCTTGTTGTCCACAGACCTATAGTTTCTGTATTATTTTAATAACTTGACTAAGAAAGGAACCTGTGCAAGTTGCAAGACTACATCTGGGGTTCAGTTATCAACAGCTCTCCAGTGGAAGTTTATTTTTGGCATCACAGACTCAAAGGGGTCAAAAACTGCATGTTGAAGATAATAATAACTATTTAATTGCTTATGTGCATGTCCTCCTCAGGATATTGTGATGACCAGAGCAAGAGGAACATTCCAGCCAGGAATTCCAAGATCCCTGTGCACAAAACTTCTCCCACTATCTATTTAAAACTTCCCAACATGCGTGGTGTTTAAAATTTGTTAAGTGTTGCTAGAAATGACCACACTACATAGATGTAGGCTTCAAGCCATACAGAACTCTAGATCCATTGAAATGCATGAAAGAAAAAAACTGAGGCCTGGACATCTAGGCCTCACAAAATGCTTTCCTCTAGTGGATAATTATTTTTACCATGCTGGGGCAAAGTTTCATCTCGATCCAATCTTAAGAGTACTGGAAAAACTCTTACTTAAATATCTTTAGCTCAGATAAAATTAGGTTTCTGTATAAAGTGAAGTGTTCAAGGTCACTTTCATTGTCTATTGTATCTAAAGGCAAAAAAATAAATAAATACCTGTCTGGGCTCAAAGGCAGTCATAAATTCAGTCAAAACAAAATCAGCTTTCTTTCACCATCTTTGTATTTATCACAGGCAGAAAATTGTCTGCTCCCAAAAAAGTTGAACAGTTTCTAAGTCTCATCTGCAAAGGATGCTCACTGTTTCCAGTGGCATAACTGAAGCAAAAACTCCAGAAAATCCTTCATGTACATATCCTCATGGCAGAGAAAAATGGCTCTTTCTGTTTTTCTCAAGCAATTTCCTACATATTATTAGGTTGAAAGAAGATGTCAGAACACAAGTATCTACATAAGGCCTAGTACAGATTCCCAGCCCCAGCCACTCTCAGGAGTTCCCTGCTTTATTTTATGCCAGAAACCTGAAGAATCGATAGACTTATCTCTGGTGAAAGACCAGTTATAAAAATAAATAAATGCTCTTCTAATAGATTTTATTCACAGACATTCTGGGGACACTGATGAAGTTACAGACCTGCTTTCCCAGGCTTGTAAAACCCGGCAAACAGTTCTTCATATTCATAATTAATAGATATCTGTGATTATCAAGAAGATATGTCTAAATGTGCTGTCTTTTGAGAAGGAAAAGAGGTTTCCCATCTATCTTCTGTCCACTTTTCTTGTCTGGTTGATTCATTTACATCAATCAACAGCCTTGAAAGGGATATCATTAACTCAAATATGAACAGTAGAAAGAATAATAGTAATTTCATTTACTTGATCTGCTCTTTCTTCGAGCTTAGCACCTTGCAATCTCTCATACATAGACTGCACATGAAAAAATCAGTAATATGACAGTGCTCCACTATCACTGCTGGAACTTCTATAGGTCCTCCTTCATTTCCATGACTTTGCAGTCTGCCAGTAGATCTCAGAGTCCATAAATGTGCTCAGATCCTCCCATAAACTGCAAAAAGTGCATTGTGCAGCATTTTCATTTTCCAAGAAAGGACACTGGAAATTTCTGCCCAGGTCCACTTGTCTGTGAGTCTGCCAAGGTTTCTGTGAAAAATATCCTTGCACCAACAGTAACTGGAACCCCCTTCTTGGTTCCCAGAGGATGATCATGGGTGTTCTGGGCCTTAACATTCTGAGCCTCCCTTCCACTGCCTGTGTATTGTGAATGCGAGGCAGGGATGCATTGCCATCATGTTGGAGATATGCCTTCTCTCAAACCTGGACACATTATACTTACCAGGGAAAGAACTTTGGGCACTCTCCTGGATTAATCTCACCTGACGACTAAATATTACACAACTAATCACTCATTTCTTCCTCCCTGGTGGGGAGGAGAATCTGAATAAGAGGTAAATCTCTGTCCTGATTTCAGCCAGGCTAGAGTTAATTTCTTCTCAGTAGCTCTGACAGTGCTCTGTTTTGGAGTCCAAATGAGAATGGTGTTGATAACACATTGATGTTTTGGTGTGTTGCTAAGTTGTGCTTATCCCAAGTCAAGGATCCTTTTTTCCCTTGACTTATGCTCTACCAGTGAGGAGGTAAAAAAACAAACTGGGAGGGAGCATAGCTGGGACAGGTAACCCAAACTGCCCAAAGGGGTACTCCACATCACAGAAGGTCATGCCCAGAATATAAACGGAGAGAAGTTACTCAGAGGAGTGGTTAGTCTGGCATCAATCATGAGGCGGTGAATTGCATTGTGCGCCACTTGTTTTTTCCCTTTTTATTATCATTATTATTATAATTTACCATTATTACTGTATTTTACTTTATCTTCAATTATTGAACTATTCTTGCCTAAACGTACAAGTTTTACTTTGATTCTCCTCCCCATTCCACAGGGGCAGGGGGGAGAGAAGGGGGTTGAGCAAATGGCTCAGTGTGGTGCTGGCTTTTCAGCTAGAGTTAAACCGCGACAACCCTATGGGTTGAGTTGAGAACAGTATTATAACTGAAACAAAAATGTAACTATACAATTATAACATAGTAGCAGCTGAAGCAATAGTAATGAAAAGGGAGGGAGAAAGGGAACCCAAGATAAGCGAGCGATGCACGATACAACTGCTCACCACCCACTAATAGATATCCAGCCTGTCCCTAAGCAGAGATTGGCCCTTTTCCTGGGAACTAGATGCAGTTTCTGTACTGCACAGTGTTCTGTGGTATGGAATATGCCTCTCTCCAATTGGGGTCACCTGTCCTGGTCATGCTCCCTCCCAGCTTCTTCTGCATCTCTTTACTTGCAGAGCACAGGAACCAAAAAGTCCTTAGGGTAAACATTACTCAACAACAGCAACAACAACATCAGCGTGCTACTGAAATTATTCTCATAGCAAATTCAAATACAGCACTATACCAGCTATTAAAAAGAAAATTAAGCCTATCCTGGCTGAAACTAGGAGAGGTACAGGCTCTGTCCGACATGCAGTCCAGACAACAAAGACTGAGCTTTAGCAGGTAAGAGGAGTCTTTAGACAAGACAGATACACCAGACGTTTCTATCACATTTTTGCTGGATGAAGCAACTGAAGCAATGGTGTTTTTTTTTCCTTGAGTCAAATAAAAAATGATGGAAGGACAAATAATAGAAAAGTGGCCACTTTCACTGCAAAATAAACAATTTCTGTTACTTTTAAATTAGTCTGATATAAATCTATGCTCAGTCAAACCAAGACTATCTAGTCCAGTAAGTTGTATTTAATCATATTATACCCTTAGATTTTTCCAGTGTAGTTCTCATCTTAGTTTCCTTTTCAAACTCAGCTTTTCAAACTGTCAGTGATATTTTTTGCAACACACTCTATTCAGGGGAGAACTTCCACTGGGGAAACTATTTAAATAATTTTGTTATGTCTTTCCATCTGTTGGTCCAAGTGTACACACAGTTTCTACTAAATATGAAGTAAACAAACTGCTGCATCTGTCCAAGGTTATTTAGCAAATTTAACCATGTCAGCACAGGTCTCTGACGTACTTGGATAAAATAAGCTGTTTAAGTATTAGTTCTTATATTATCAGTGTTACTGAGATGTCCCAAAACAAGAGAATAAAAAGCGCCAGTATGGGAGTTAAAAAACATAAGAGCCAGGGGAGCTGAGAGTCATACCTCCTAACCTCTACTAAACTCCATTTTAGAAAGTTACTGCAGGGCCAAATCCATGGGCTGTCCTGTCATGAACCAAGCACAAATTCACTTCTTTGTTTTTCAACTCATTTACATTTACAGGGTTTGAGGGCTTCTGAATTAAAAAGGTCCACATCTGCACAG